TTACTTGTTGTAATATAGGTATTTAACATAATCTTTTTACATCTGGTTTGCAACCTTTTCTGATGGCATTGCCAGAAGATATCTTTGGTCTTACAGTATATTTCCAGTACTTAACTGGCGTAGGTAGGGTGGATGTGTTGTAATTATTATTATTTTATTACAGATATGTAAGCGGCTGGAAATTTTAATATGCACACATACTTTTTATAAGTCGGCAGTGCAAAGACACAACAAAGAGGAACAAAACCCACAATATTTCCCTGTAGCTTGAAGCAGTAAGAGAGAGGAGAGAGTTCGTCTGGCCATTCAGCAAAGGTCCTAGGATTTTTCAGTTCCTAATCAGTCCAGCTGGTTTGGGGGAGATAGTTAGACTGCTAGGTTGAGTCTTTCAAACTGAGTAGTTAGTCTGGGAAGATTAGTAATGTAATCTTTTCACTTTTTGGTCAGAGCATTTGGGCTGTGCCTAGAAGCTATTATGTTTGTTCTAGAATTTGGGATATACTAATCTTTATAAGTATCAGTCACCCATGAGCACCTCTTTTCCCACTCAAAATGATGGAGAGACCACAAAACAAGAGTAGAAATATTTTAATGATGTGGGATTAATTCCTCTCACATGTTATAATGATTTTACATATATATATATATAGCACCTTTCAGCACTTTAGCAACTGTGGAAATACAAAGGATCATGTCATTCACCAGAAAATGCAGCCACCTTTAGGGTGGAATTCAGTAATTTTTTATCAGCACACTGCAATGCTGCACAACAGTTTAGTGCCACTAGGAAGTATGTAAGAATGTTGAATGCAAATGAATTTGCATGGGAAATGTGAGGAAGGAGGCAGATTGTGTTTACCAGATTTGGGACTGGACTAGGATTCCAGACCCAGAGAGGAGATGGGTAATGTCAGAATAAAAACTTGCCATTGAAATGTCATGAAAATCAGTCATGGGATACATACATCCATATGTACAAGATTCCACAGCCAACATCCCTACTTTGGAAAAAAGTGCTAGGTGATCAGTTTTATATCTTATGGGAAAGTGAGCACCTCTTAACAGCACGCTGCCCCGGGGGGCAAATCTCGGCTGGTATAGATTGAAGGAATTGGAGCTGACAATTTACCACAGCTGAGGATGTGCCTCAGAGAGGGAAGTGCCACCTACAGGTGGCTAACACCATTTTGTGCAGCTCCCAAGTAGTTCTTGGAAGCCCACCAGGTACTGATGCATCCTGAGCCTGCTTTGCTTGCAAGATCTGACAATATCACAGCCCAAGGTGGCAGGTCTGCAGCCATAAATAACACTCTCTGTAACCACAGGTTACTGATTGAGCATTTTGGAAGTGAACACCTTACAATGATAACAGTGAGTTTGTGAGGGGTGAGGGTAAACTTGGCTCTAAAATAAGCAACAGGTTAGAGGTGTGATCCTGATGACAGTGTAGTGTGATGTGAATCTCCAGTCTCCGCATATGATGCGGAGGGAACCTGGATGCTCTGAGAGTCCAGGACCTCACATAGTTTTCTGCTCTTAGTCTGTTTCAAATATCTACTGGGCTTCATAGCACTTAATAGAAAATTGGGGGGAGTGTTTTTTCTCTGTTCCCCCTCATCTTCCATATATAAGTGCATTATGGTCTTTTGACTCCACCACAACACACAGGCTTAAAAATCGTTACTGGGATGATGAGTTTTAGACACTTGGCAACTGCTTCATGTACTTGGTATTCAGGTTTCCAAAATGCCTCTCTAGCACTGCTCCATATACCTTGAAGGCTCCCCTGCAAGAGCCTATATAAGAACGCTGCTACATTAGACTACCACATGCTGAAGAATCATTGCAAAGGGGTTAACTTCACACAACTAAAATTGTGACCAATAATGCAGACAGTTCACTGTCAATTAGTACCCTTTGTGGAGCAATGGAAGCTGTACAGCTGTATTTAGCCTTCTTTGTGTTGAAATACTGCTATAATCATAAATGCTTTATTGCCTTCATAATGGTTAACATTTAAATATCAGTGTAATAATGCATTAATAAGTCTTCTGTGCAGTAGCTATCTGCTATGATTATACTTGAAATTTTGTAGTTAATTAGTAGATTAATGAAATAGGGCTTAATTCAGTATTAACTGTATTCCTCATTATTTGTTGCTTTGTTATTTATTTATTGGAGACCTATGGAAATCTTCCTGCTTATTTCTAGCAACAAATGGGCTCTTAATGTTGGAAATGTGTAAGTAGCAAAGCTAGGATTTGGGTTACTAGATACTTTGTCTATTAAATATGTGGCTTTTTTTACAATAGCTATATCTGAGTCTGTGTGATAGTACAGATTGAATTTTCAACAGTTGTGCTGGGAATAGTGTACAGAATGTATCTCTCAGTTACATGGGAAAGATGTTCATTGTCACTTCTCACTCTCTGAATCCACTCTGTGTCCTGTTAAAGTCAATGGAAAGTCTCCACTGAATTCAGTTTGACTTGCATTGGATCCTTTAGTGCCCTCACTGACATATTCATTTGTCAACTTTGTGTACGATTTAATTTTCAAAACTGACTATATGCATGGTTGTTCTTTGGTGATTTATGATCCCAGCCCCTGCGTAGAGTTCTTTCCTATACTAATGCTTTCTGTAATATATACTACTTAAACTAACACACATTTACACTTCACCTCTATTCTTTTGGTGGACAACTGAACAAAATCAGAACACAGGTATAACAACAGTAATAATGCTTAGCACTTCTATAGCCTCATCCAAAGTGGTTCATCCAGAGTGTGTTACACACATTAAGCATCAATATCTCTGTGGCCAGGTAGATAAGTATTTTACAGATGGGGAAACGGAGGCCGATGCTAAGTGACTTGTCCAAGATTACAGGCAGAATTAGTGACAGAGATAGCAATTGAACTCAGGAGTTCTGAATCATAATCCTCTGCTTGAGCCACTGGACAATATTTGCTGTCATTTATTCCTACAGAGTGTTTCATTTGTCTGAATGAAGTTTACTGTGCCACACACTTCTTTTGGCTAGTTGTCTACGACTTCCATTCCTGCACCATCTGCTAGATACCATAATCTAGCAATAATAATTACATATAAAGAGAGCTTTATTTTAAAATACAAACTGGCATAGTGGAAAATTCATTTTGGTATTATGATGCCCTTAAGAAGGGAATTCTGTGGTACAGACGAAGCAGCTTTTCAGCCTCAGAGAAGTTCACTGTGAGGCATCGCAGTTTTTCCTGAGTAGTTTGCACCATGAGTGATGCATCCAGGATTCAACTCCAGATATTGACAGTACTTTCCTCCCTAATTCTTTGCCCTTCCCAATGAAATTGGGGTGTTCTGAATTTGGGATTCCAATTAGGCTCAAATTGTGAAATGTGTATTTTGGTTCAGGTCTGGATTTCAGACATCCTATCCCCTCCATATTTGAGAGTGTTCTGATTTCTGATTTGAGCCAACATCTGACATTACCAGTTTTTCTAGTGGAGCTAAAATACAGCAATGTATTGTGTTGTAGGCTACGGTACACTAACACTGAGCAAACTGGGAATCTACGGAGAGGTTTCTGTTGTACACGCTGATCTCTAGTATACAGAAAACGAATCATCTGTTGGAAGGAAGTTACAGATGAATTAGAAGGTTAATTAGTTAATTATTTTAAAGCTCTTGAAAATCTTTTTATGAAATGCCCTGCACAAATACATAATATCACAACTACTGAACAAATCAGGTGTAAGTAACAGTAGTAATGCTTTAAAGTATTATTTGAGGTGGCTGTTTATTTTATCACCTGCACAAAGCTTACAGCCCTTAATTTAAAACAAGGCCAAGCTATTGGTTTCTACAGTAATTGCCCAAAACACTGCACTATGGATGTTATAACGTACAGCCTGCTGGGCCATTGCTATAAACAACTGCTGTGTGTTTGCATTTTAAATAAGGGAAATCTGAAGAGCTTTAACCATTTCAGTTAGAAGGAGGATGGACAGTGCAACATGGTAGGTAACAAATAGTCAGGGGGGGAGGGATAGCTCAGTGGAATGAGCATTGGCCTGCTAAACCCAGGGGGCCACTTAGGGATCTGGGGCAAAATCAGTACTTGGTCCTGCTTGTGAAGGACCTTTCAAGGTCCCTTCCAGTTCTAGGAGATAGGATATCTCCATTAATTTATTTTATTTATTTAGGTTTGATCAAGTCTCTTGACACAGTAGGCTGCAGTAGTTGCAATTTCTGAGCAATGGAATGTGGCAAGTATACCCTCCTGGTGTGTGTGTTCCATTTCCCAGGCCATCATTGATAAACTTTATAACTTCTAATTTGCCAGGGAGTCACTGATATAATTAGGAACAACATAAATGAGGGCAACCTACCCCAGTTGATGCTAAACTAGTCATTTTATCATAAAAAACATGATTAGGGTCCCTAATGGCAGCCGGGGTCCCATTCTTCTAAGACCAGCTCTAATAAAATACACAACATGGCGTTTCCATTTGAAACCCTTATATGCTTTGAACAGGAAATGTTTATTCTGGTACATTCCATGTTCCATATATTTCTTCCTAAGGAAACCAAACAAGAATTCCTCATCCATCCATGTGTTTCTAACGGAGCAATTTGAGCTGTATGTCTTATTGCAAACAGGCTGTGCTAATGAGGCTTTAAGTGCCAACATCTCCCCTTTTGTTTGAAAACAAATACTCTAGTGGATGAAATCTTGTGCTACTTGCTATGCAGGGCATGGCATGTTAAATAGCAATTTTTGTTTACTTGTGCACAATTATTGGTTACTTTGACATAAAAATATCCTTCTTGACAACTCACAAATCGCTCCTGAGATATTTGTCAGCACGTCTTCTTGTTTGCAGCACTATAGATTTATTACCCGTTGCTGAAGCAGTTCATTTCTATAAAGAGTGTGCTGGTAAAGCAATGTAAATAATTGATCAATCTGTTTTTCTTTTCTTTCTTTCTTTTTCAACAGTACTCTCAACAATAACAACATCACCCGCATCCCTCTTACCAGTTTCAACCATATGCCAAAGATCAGGACTCTGTAAGTACTAAATTCAGAAATAAGTAGCAGCCTGGATAACTCTGTCTTTGCTTTGAATATTTGTCTTTATTCAAGGAATACTTTTATAAAGGTTTTTAAAACCACTTTTCTTTAATAAAGGACAGTAAATAGGTAAATATTAACCCCCTGTAAACAGGAATGAGGTAGTCTTATTGGGTGAGAACATATTTCAGTCTCTCCCCAAGGTAACCAGCTCAAGCTAGTTTTGGGAGAAAAAAATCTACCAGTTGAGCCTAATTGTCATCACGTGCTGATTATGAAATGTAATTCTGTTATTTAGCTGATATTTGGAGGCCAAACTGAACCCTTCCTTACAGCCTATGCAAATCTCAATACATTGGGGTCACACAGCTTTTAAATGCATGCACAGTTTCACCTAGGATAATGTAGAAGTCAGAGCTGTGCAGAAACAAGATTTTTCATTTAGTGGGAAATTCTGTGAGGATAAAAAATAAATTAAAAAAAAAAAAGTTGTTCCAAAATGGAACAAACCCAAAAATTTCAAAATTTCCTTGAAACAAAATTTAATTAAAAAATTGTTTTTCAGTCAAAACCTTTAATTTTGATAGTCAAAATGTTGCAATCTGATTTTGACATTTTAAATTACTTTTATTTTTTAAATAGAACATACATTTTAAAATGAAAAGTCATTTTGCACCAAAATATCTAAAATATTTTGTTTTGAATTTTTTCTCTCCAAATGAAATTTAATAGAAATTGACCCATTTTTGCAAAACATTTTCTCTTGTGAGAAATCTGCTTTTTCCAATGGAAAAAGATTCCTCTGGAAAATTTCCAATCAGCTCTAGGAGAACCTTATACAAAGGGAATTAAATTGACCTGTGTGTAATTTTTGTGGAATTTAGACTGAGAGCTTAGAGGTAAAATTCCAAATGGTAATGCCATCAGCTTTGCAGCTCTACCCCACCCAGCCATTTCCAAAATCATTCCCTTTAAATAAATACACAGCTCCAGAAGTCATTTTTTAAAGAAAAACCTGTTTGGTTTTACTCCAGCATATAAAAACAAGCCAACATGTGCTTACTCCAAAATGTTCAGCAAGCCAAATACTAGCAGCCTGTTCATACTAGTGGGAAGCAGAATGCTATGTTTAGATATATATTTTCATATAATCACAGATGGCCAGTTAAGTGAACTGAAGAAAAATGGTTCTTATCTGTCCATACTGATAGGCTGTTTTCTGTAAAGTGATAACTACTGATTTATATTTACTTTCTTTTTTTCTCTAAAGGATGACATTGCATGATGCTAGCATTAATGTAACTGATTAAAGAGAATTTATATTTTTGTCTTTTTGTCGGGGGAGGTGAAGGGTGGGTTAAGATATTTCTCTCCCTTAACGATCCAGAATATTTGCCTGGCTACTTCAGATCAATCAGTCTTGTCTGTTCCCAGAGCTCAGTGCCTGCTGCCATTTTCCCTTTAGTTTAATTTCGGAGATGGCTTTGTATATCGCTCCCTGGAGACTTACACTGACTAATCCCCCTTCGCTGTAATTAAAGAAGAAAAAAAAGGGAACGAAAAAAAAAAAAGGAAGGAAGTCATAAATGGGATTTATAAAGAGAAGCTTTTATATTGAATTCTGAGAGCCACATTTTACAGAACATGAATGCTGACCCACTCTAAAAGGATTTGCTGGAAATTTAATTTAGAGTCTTTGGCTAAAAGGGCACCTTTAAAAGCTGGCATTTGTATTTATTCACCTTATGTTCTACAAAGGTAGTTTCATCAATAGCAAGTGGCATGTATGAGTCTCAAAGACTGCCAAATTACATCCCTTCTAAACAGTTCAGTATTATTTTTTAAAAAGCCCCATGCAGAAGGGTAGAATTGTAATACTGTGGTTTAATTTTTCATTTTACCTTCCCCCTACTTTGTCAGAGATAGTAAAGCCATCAAAAGAATAATAAATGTAAGATAAACACAGATACCACAAATATTTCATGACTTCTTCCACTGCTCCTTCCTGGAATTGTTTCATTCTCCTCAAATCATCACCATCACCTCTCACAAAGATGATGTCTAAATATTAACATTATTTTTCATAGCTAAAAATTATTAGAACCACACTTGACCATTGTTGGTACATATTGCAGGATAATGTGGCTTTGATATTAAACGTGGTTTGCTGAAGTAGGTAATAATGCCCCTTTGCAACTGCCCAGGTAATGCCTCTCTGCACAAATCAACTTAGAAATAGGTCTCTTATTGTTCTGTTAGGTAAAATGTTCATATAAAGATATTATTGGGGGTTGGGACGGCAATACCTTCTCTCATGTCACGTTTCTGATTTTACTTCATACGTTTTTTTTTCTTTCTCTTCCATGTTAATACACACCTCAAAAAAGCTGCTTTCATAAGGGGCAAAATCTATGAGAGAAAGCATGTTGCATAGAATTTGTTGCAGGCATGATGACTTGGGTTGGGGAGGTAGGATGTAGTATTTGATCCTTCAGTCAATGGTTCAAATCCAGCCATCTGATGGCTGTGCAGTACCTTATGTAGAATGAATATAGTCTTCGTTTAGTTCCCACTGGCTAGGTGTCCACATCACAAAAATATCATCACACATGGCCATTGTGTTAGCAGGTTTACTAGAGAGGCCATAGATTGAATGGGCCTAGGTAGAGTACCCTGGATGTAATTATTTATAGTGAGTGCTGAGGTCCATGGACAGGCAGTTGGGGAATCTGCCTGTACTGTACTTGTTCTGTAGCTAAAAATTTTATTCTCAGTGCTCTCAATCCAGCTTTTTTTTATAAGGACAAGAGTTGTGTGAATTTTTTAAAAGAAAAAAAATCCATTCCATTATGAAGAACATGGGAGGAAAAATTAAGAGTATCCAGTCAATATGACCTTGAAGGGAAAGAAAAATGTATTAATATAATTGTAGCACTTAAGAATCCTTTCTAAAAATAAAATAAATAAATCAGCTCTTCTATGCTGATCTGTTCAACCTAACTCCTCTTTTCCGTTGTTTTTTGTTTGTTTTATTGATTTTTTTTTTGTATGCTCTTGATTGGAATTTACAGGAATTCGTTTGTATTGATCTGCTTTCATTTGCATGAAACAGCTTTATTTATGCTAAACATGTCCTCTGTATTAATTTATTTAATGGTGAGTCTCCTGTTGTCTCTGCATCTTGAGTGACTGCAGAGGTAAATGATTACATTTAAAAAAATATGTAAAATATACAAAAAAAACCAAAACCCACCAAATGGCTGCAGTGCTCCTGACTTGCACAAGGGACTGTTGTGCTGTGTTTCTCAACCACAATGGAAGCCCTTTTCAAGCATTCTTATTGTATTCATTAATTTGTTTATCAAAGACATATTCCTACAGGCTACCTGGTTAAGCTTGACGGCTTGTTTACAATGGACCAAGAGCAATTCCCAAACACCCATGGCATGCTGCAGAATTTCAACACAAATAACATTATCAAGTCTAAAGATAGGGCTCACATGGGACAATGCAGGCGGATTGAGGAGTAATATTGTTCCCACTGTTAAAATATATAAACCCAGAAACTAGTTCTACATATCTAGCAAGAAAACAAATAGGAGATATGGAAGCAGTTCTTGTGAAATTTTTATCATATGAACCCTGTCTGAAAACAAAAAAAGGCATGTTCCTACTTTCTTTAGAAAGTATAATTCTGAATATCATCATAGGATGCTCTTGAATGTTGTGATGGGAAGGGATGCTAATTCTTTGCCAGGTTAGCTGTATGAAATTGTTCATCTATAGGTTGACACAGCCTTGTTGCAATTAGGGTGATCTTTTCCTAGACAGTGTTCTCTCGGCTTTGTGAATGTATATATTTGTTCTTTCAGTTTATATACTGTGCCTATCGAAAATGAAATAAAAAAAAAATCATAATAAATTTTTTTTACCAAAGTTCTTAGTTGATGCAGTGTCCTCTGAAACTTTCACAAAATGTAACAACACAGCTGCCCCACCCCGCCCCTTCATTGAAATCTTGGGTGAATAGATATACTTTACAGTGTGCCCTGAAGTGTACCCAGCAGATGTAAGCGCTACTGGCCAAAGCATGGAAATGAATTCCAAGCTTGAGGTCCAGCCACTGAAAATGCGTCACTGGCTCCCCCCAGACATACAAATCTAGGGACTGTCAGCTTGGGCGCCACCACTGATCTCAACTGCCACTGTGTAATATGAATATCTCTAGATTGATGGTTAATTTCTTCTGGAGCTGGCAAGGCTAAATCCAGTATGCACACCAATTGTTGTTTTTTTTTTTACATATAATACTTGATATATTACTGCATTGCAGTTAAGAATGCTTTGTCTAACTGTATCTTACAGGATTTTCAGTCTTTGGCGGGGGTGGGTGGGAGTCTGTAGTATAAACTTAGAAGTTTACATCTTCTCTTGTGAAATTGCATCATGTTAAAAATGAACTGATGGTTGAGGGTGGGAGTGGGAGAAGCAATTAATGTGTGCCACAAACCCGCAGCAAAATTGCACAAGTACTCATAATTTGAGTATTTTGTATTTAAGATTTCAATCTGTTGTGAGTCTGTAAAATAGACATCCCATTGCTGAACAATACTTCTCAGACTCCTCTTAGAAGCTCAATGGATGGCCATGACAACAAGTGAAGCTTGTATTAAATTACTTAATGATGGGGAAGGATGAATCTTCACCTAAATGTGAACTAAACCTTTCATGGATTAGAAAAAGTTCAGTTAATAGATATTATCTTTTTGGAGGTCGTCTGTGCTTTGTCTATACCGCCCTAAGGTAAAAGCCTCCAACTACCGTGAAGCTGCTATGGTACTCCTGGCACTGGTAATTTCACCCAAGATTGCTGCCTGCTGGAAAATTTTCAGTTTCATGGGTTGATTGCACACCCATCCTTTTGGATGCTTACTTGGAGCTCTGCTTCTTGTCAGGTTCACTTATTGCTTTTCAATATAACAGAAAAGTCAATCTGATCAAATGAAAGCCTCTTCAATTTTGTGGATCCCCTCAGCCTCTAGTCTCAACATTTATCTCTAATAATTCAACTTACTCCTGTGTGAAAATATGTGCAGGGTTTTTAGTACAATGTCTCTGAAAATTTGTACAAGTTTGCTTTGTTTAATCACTGTTTCTAAAACATTCAGATGTGATGTGACTCTTTCTGCCCATTGCAGGCGGCTTCACTCCAATTACCTGTATTGTGACTGCCACCTGGCTTGGCTGTCTGACTGGCTGCGTCAGAGACGCTCGATTGGGCAGTTCACATTCTGCATGGCACCCGTGCACCTACGGGGTTTTAATGTGGCGGATGTTCAGAAAAAGGAATACGTCTGCTCTGGTATGACACTGATTATTCATTTATCTATCTTCTGACATTTTTATAATGAAGTTCACACAAAACCAGTGAATGAAGTATTATTATTAGTCCCATTTAAATGTCATTCCGTGCCAGTGCTGATTCAGTCATATCACTGCTAAACTGTTTGCTAATATTGTAAATTGTTATGATTTGTTCAATATCATACGAAGTGTTGGACTCTTAATTATTCTGTTCTCAAATTATTTTCTCAGCTGTAGTGGTAGAAATGATTTTAATGTGAAAGGACAATTAAGAAGTAGTAATTTGGCATTTCTCAGGGGAAAATTCCTCTAATCTCTACAGCTGACTAGTTTACAAAGGGCAAGGATTAGTAAATGCTGATCTGTATACATTGCTGTTTTTCCAGAATGGAGTGTGATCCAGTGGGAATCGGGTCTATTTATGAAGGTATGGACTATAAGTCCAGAGGTCTGTCCCAGGCTCTGAAACAAATTTCATTTGTGACTTGAAATCAAGACACTTAACTTCTCTCTGCCTGATTTTCCTTACTGGTAAAACGGGCATGATCATAATCTATCTATCTATCTATCTATTGAAGTTTTATCAGTGTATTATTAAAATACTGTCACTGATTTTTGTGACCAAATGTGTGTTTGTACCACCTGATGACTGGGGTTGTATGCAACATGCGGTGAGCTCAGGTTAGATAATAATCATCTTTACTCATCATAGTATTTTATATATTTATACCCATTTTCAAATATTAAGTAACATTGTCCCTTTGAGGTGAGGAAGTATTATTATCCCCATTTTACAGGTGGAGAAACTAGATACAGAGAGGCTGAGTGAATTGCCCAAAGTGTCTCAACAAGCTGTTGTCAGCGTTAGGAGTAGAATGCAGCAGTCACTTATTCCTGACTCTGTGCTCATATGACTACAAGGTCCTGCATTACGAAAACCATCATTATATTATCCGGAATTGCTGGCAGTGTCAGCAGAAAGGCCAAGGACTGAATGATCTTAGATTATGGTTTTCCTTCACTGTTAAAGGTTGTCCATCAGGACTGAGGCACATTAGTGGGGTAGTGTGCAGAAGCTTGAAATGGTGTTGGCCATTATGTTCTCTGGGCTGTCACTCTGGTCCCTTACATCAGTAATACATAGCCGTAATAGTATTAGATGGCAAGGACAGAGATGCGCTTATGCCCGCCTCCTGCTATCATAGGACGCTTTGACAATTGGGTATGTTACCCTCATTCGTGTGATCTGTGCTCCGAGATGTAGAGGAAGGCAAATCCACCACCCACATGCTGTATAACCATCTGTGCAGGACAAATCCCTTTTTACATCAAGATTGCCAGTCAATTTAACCGCAGACGTGTAAGCCAGACTTAAAGAAAAAAAAAGCAGCTATGCATATTACATACAGAGAGCGGTACTTAGCCTCTCTGAGAAGTCTGAAGAGCTTGAGTCAAACAGCAGGAAAAGCCCCATTTTATAGAGAGATTATGTTCTTTTGTAGGTGCTTTAAGCCTGACCTTAGAAGGAAGCAATGCTAAAACTTACACGTCTGACCTAAATAGTACAATACAAATAACTCTGTTTTTTAGTTATTTTTATATATGGCTTGATCAAGGAGAGAAAATGTGAGAACTACATAAGGGAGGAGACAAGACTTTGTCAAGTTCTTGTGTGCTTGTTTGTACAAAATGGCTGTTACCTTCTACGGGGCCACTTGGCAGTGCTGTGCCAGAGAGGGCAGTGTCAGCTGTATGAAATGTAATTGTGGTGGTTGCACTAGGAACATTTGAGAAATGGCTGGTGCTCAGGTGATGGCTGTGGGGGCAGGCACATCTGTAAGCTTTTCCCCATTGTTGTATTAATTTGTGACCACAAGTGAGAGGTAAATAGTTGTATTTGTCGGACAAGGGTTTCATAGAATCATAAAATATCAGGGTTGGAAGGGACCTCAGGAGGTCATCTAGTCCAACCCCCTGCTCAAAGCAGGACCAGTTCCCAACTAAATCATCCCAGCCAGGGCTTTGTCAAGCCTGACCTTAAAAACCTCTAAGGAAGGAGATTCCACCACCTGCCTAGGTAACTCATTCCAGTGCTTCAACACCCTCCTAGTGAAAAAGTTTTTCCTAATATCCAACCTAAACCTCCCCCACTGCAACTTGAGACCATTACTCCGTGTTCTGTCATCTGCTACCACTGAGAACAGTCTAGATCCAGCCTCTTTGGAACCCCCTTTCAGGTAATTGAAAGCTGCTGTCAAATCCCCCCTCATTCTTCTCTTCTGCAGACTAAACAATCCCAGTTCCCTCAGCCTCTCTTCATAAGACATGTGCTCCAGCCCCCTAATCATTTTTGTTGCCCTCCGCTGGACTCTTTCCAATTTCTCCACATCCTTCTTGTAGTGTGGGGCCCAAAACTGGACACAGTACTCCAGATGAGGCCTCACCAATGTCGAATAGAGGGGAATGATCACGTCCCTCGATCTGCTGGCAATGCCCCTACTTATACAGCCCAAAATGCCGTTAGCCTTCTTGGCAACAAGGGCACACTGTTGACTCATATCCAGCTTCTCGTCCACTGTAACCCCTACGTCCTTTTCTGCAGAACTGCTTCCTAGCCATTCGGTTCCTAGTCTGTAAGAGTGAATGGGATTCTTCCGTCCTAAGTGCAGGACTCTGCACTTGTCCTTGTTGAACCTCATCAGGTTTCTTTTGGCCCAATCCTCTAATTTATCTAGGTCCCTCTGTATCCTACCCTCCAGCGTATCTACCACTCCTCCCAGTTTAGTGTCATCTGCAAACTTGCTGAGAGTGCAGTCTACGCCATCCTCCAGATATGAAGATATTGAACAAAACCAGCCCCAGGACCAACCCTTGGGGCACTCCACTTGAAACCAGCTGCCAACTTGACATGGAGCCATTGATCACTACCTGTTGATCAAAGTCTTAAGTGCATTGTTGATAATCAGTTAGTTTAAAAAATTAGAGATGGGCATGGCATGTAGCAGAGACAAAGGAAACAAGGCCCATGCACCAAGGATCATGTATGGCCTGATTTTCATGTAGTTACCATGGACTTCAGTGCGATTTATAGATGCCCAGCACTTCTGAAAAGCAGGCCATTAAAATCTAAGTTACAAAGATAAGACTAGACAGACTACCTACCACAGGTCATGGTGAAGGGGACAAGTGAAGAGGAGAAAAAAAACATGGGTAAGGAAACTGCCCTTGACAGAGCCTCATTTTACTAGGGAAGTAACCACGCCAATCCTTCCTTAAGAACTCAACAACTGATGCTTCCAGAAAAACAGTACTGTGCAGTGAAACAAAAGGAGATGTTTAAATCAGGAGAGCTAAGGTATAACTGGACTGAGAGAAACTCATCCCTAGGGGAAAAGTACCTGCCAGAATAAATAGTGTTCTGTAGCAGCCATGCTGTCCCAAAAGAGAAAAGGAAATGCAGTTGAATAGGGGGAGATAGGATGACTAAGGAGTCCTCTCTGATTCCCTATCAGGTAACTCTCTTAAGGGTAGCCTGTTTTTTATTTAAAAAACAAAACAATACAAACAAAAGCATACACAACAAAAAAGCCATCAGCTTTGTAGTCCTGAGAACGCATTCCTTAGTCCCCAATTGTAAATGGTGTGTGGCGAAATGGAAATCTATAAGAGTTCATCACAGGGGAAGATTTAGCACAGAATCCCATTTAATGCCCACTTGTAAAAAAAACAAACAAAAAAAAAAAAAACAATCTGTGTGCGCAGTTTACTGAAGATGGGGGGAGGGATAGCTCAGTGGTTTGAGCATTGGCCTGCTAAACCCAGGGTTGTGAGTTCAATCTTTGGGGGGGCCACTTAGGGATCTGGGGCAAAATCAGTACTTGGTCCTGTTAGTGAAGGCAGGGGGCTGGACTCGATGACCTTTCAAGGTTCCTTCCAGTTCTAGGAGATAGGATATCTCCATTAAAAAAAAAAAAAAAAAGATGCCCCTGATTCTAAAGAGCATCTTAAACCTTGGCCCCACTGTTTCACATGCCAGCTTTTCCTCCCTGAATTTACAGACAAGTTTAGTCATTGTTTGACTATGAAGTTACTGGTTCTTAATATAGAGCGACTTCAGATCAGACTGGTGCAAGACGATGGTGCTGTGCAGGCCTTGTCTCACTGTGAATGTATTTTATATAATTTAAGGTGATATGAACAACAGTAACAAGCCCCAAAGTGGTGCTAAAAGGCTTCTATGTTTCCTAGTGACAAGCTTAGTGCTGGAATACCATGTGCTGCACCATTGTGTTTCAGTATACGTTCAGGGTTTCAAACAGAACTGCTTTATAGTAATGGGCATTTTTTCTTGGGAGAGGAGAGAGATCTTTACATTTCTTCATTATTATTTTTTACCATCATATTATGGACTTTAAATTTGAACTAGGGAAAATCACTTCAGACTGGTACAGAACACTACCCAAAAACACATTTTTCATTTCATAGCAAATTTTAAAACTTGAATTAATGAGTGTTAAGGGTCCAACTAAATACTGAATCCTCCGTAACAGGGAATGGTTGTAAAACTGAAGAACAAAGAGATGCAATGAGTCACCCAAACTCTCATAGCAAAACTGGAACAAGAACCCAGGTTGTAACATGCCATATCTAGTGCCTGGCATGAAGCACCATGCTACCTCTCTGGCATGGTAAATGTGTATAGTAAGAGAGATGGGCAAGATGCATACATTCAGAATAAAAGAGCTTGAAGGACTAAGTTTTCAACAGGCCTCTCAATTTGTGCACCTAAATTTTACACATGCTAGTTGAATGGTTTGGATACACTGGGATTTGTTCGTGGAAATGAGGGGTTGGCTCAGGCATATGTGTTTGCGGAAGATTTGTGTGCAGCAACCTGGAGACTGGCTTGCAAATATAGCTCAAAAGATGTCTAATCAGATTTGTAGTACTGAAGACAGCAGAGAAACATAATTTATATGATCCTGAACAGTGCTGGCT